GAGTAGGAGAGTCGACGTTTCGGGCCTAGACCCTTCATCAGGACTATAAGCTGGTATCGTGTGACTTTTGACCCTGTCCACCCCAGTCCAACACCGGCACCTCCACATCATTGTAATAATGACCATAGTAACACAGAAAAACCATATTCCAACGAGTAAGAAAATTCCGGAAGAGGAACCCACCATTCATGGTTAATTAGATATTTTATAAAGATAATATCAAACTAATAGGAAAAGCATTTTATTGTCAAGTCAGAAAATTGGACACAATATTAAAAAAGCAAAGAATTACCAAAACATTAATAAAAGGGAAAAGTTAGAGTATATGTGAAAGCTAACCCGAAATATATTACAGCAAAGTAAGAATTTCTACAAATATTTTTAAAGAAGGGTTAACAATGCAAGTGTTGGGTCCTATAGAGAGTGTGACTTGAAAATTAATAGTACAAAATAAGGAAATGACAGGTGAATTGAACAGGTATTTTGAATCCACATTGACTGCAGAGAATATAAATAACATTCCAGAAGCAGCTATAAATCAGGTAATAAAAGAGAGGGAGGAAGTCAGGAAAATCAATCACCAGATAAGTGGTAATGAGTAAATTGCTGGAGCTGTAACAGACAAATACCTGGGTTCTGATGGAATTCATCCTACAGTCTTAAATAAAAGTGCCTAATGAGATAGTTATGCATTGGTTTCAATTTTCCAAAACTCCCTTGATTGGAGGATAGACTGGAAGATAGTGATTGTAACTCCTTTATTCAAAAAGGGACAGAGAAAGAAATCAGAAAACTACAGGCCAGTTGGCTTAATACCTGCCACATGGTAAATGTTAAAAGCTGCTTTTGAAATGGTTATAGCAAGTACTTGGATAAGTTTAAAGTCAGCAGGTACAATCAACCTATGTTGTCAAAGGAAAATCATATTTGACCAATCTTTTTGAGAATGTAACATGCTGGGGATAAAGGGGAATCGGTGAGTGTACTGTACTTGGTTTCCAGAAGGCATTTGATGAGGTGCCACGTCAAAGATTATTGTGGAAAATAAAAGCTTATGGTGCAGTGGTGAGCATATTGGCATGGTTTGGCTGACTAACAGGAAGCAGAAAGTAGGCATAATTGGGTTATTTCAAATTGGAAAGATGCATCAAGTCCACAGGGGATTGGTGCTGATCAATTGTTTATATTTTATATAAATGATTTAGATGAAGGAATGAAAGATATGGTTACCAAATCTGCTGATGACACAAAGATAGGTAGGAAAGTTGTGAAAAGGACAGGAGGGTACAGAAAGGTAGATATCGATAGGTTAGGTGAATCAACAAAGATGTGGAAAATGGGCTATAAAGTAGAAAAACGTGAAACTGCCCATTTTGCCAGGAAGAATACCAAAAACGTTTTCTAAATGATATGAAATTGCAAAAATCAGAGATTCAGAGGTGTCCTCATGCATTAATCACAAAAGGTTAATATGTAGGTACAATAAGTAATTAGAAAGGCTAGTAGAACGTTATCCTGTGTCACAAAGGGAACTGAATACAAAAGTAGGAAGGTTATGCTTCAGTTATACATGGCATTGATGAAACTGCACACAACAGTGGTCACCTTATTTAAACAAAGATATAACTGCATTGGAAGTAGTTCAGAAAAGTTTGTTAGACTAATAGCTAAAATGAGGAGGTCGTCTATGAAGAAAGGTTGGTCAGGCTAGACTTGTGAACGTAGGGTCCTTGACGAGTCTAAAAAATTCAGAGGGAACTTAAAAAGGAAAGCAGGAAAGCGAAGAGAATGCATGAGAAAGCCTTGGCTAGTGGAATAATGGAAAACCGAAAGAAGGTTTTTAAAAATGTAGAAGAAAATAACTAGCAAAAGAGTAGGGCCCATTGGGAACCAGAGGTAATCTACATGTAAATGCAGAAATAGGAGTACAATTCTCATTGAATACATTGCATTGGTCTTCACTGTAGAAAGGACAGCTAACATAGATATCAGGTTGGAGGACTGTGAAATATTACAAGAAATTAGCATAGAGAGAAAGAAAAGAGGTACTTGCAGGTTTAGCAACTTTAAAAGTGGATAAATCCACAGGCTTGGATGAGACGTATCCCAAACAATTGAAGGAGGCCAAAGGAGAAGATATTAGGAGCCCTGGTCATAATTTTCAAATCCTCTCTGGCCACAGATGAGATGAGAGAGGACTGCTAATGTTGTACCATTAATAAAAAAGGGAGGCAGCACAGACAAGGAAATTACAGGCCTGTCAATGTAACCTCAATGATAGTGAAGTTATGAGAGATAAACTTGAGGGACAGAATACATTTCCACTTGGAAAAACACAGATTATCAAGGATAATCAGCATGAATTTGTTAAGGGAAGGTCAGGCTTGACAAATTTGATCAAAACTTTTGAGGACATAACCAGGAATGTTGATGAGGGCAATACATTTAATCTAGTCTACACGGACTTTAGCAAGGCTTTTGGTAAGTCCCTCATGGCAGACTGGTGAAGAAATTAAGAGGCCTTGGGATCCAAAGTAACTTGGCACACTGGATCTGAAATTGTCTAAAGCGCAGGTAGCAGAGGTTAATGGTAGAGGATCTTTCTGTGACTGGAAGTTTGTTTCCAGTGGATTCTTCAGAGCTCAGTGCAGGGCCCTTGCTGTTTGTGGTGTGCATTAATGATTTTGAACTAAATGTAGGGGTATGATCCAGAAACTTTCAAATGACTTGAAAATCGACAGACTGGTAATTAGTGAGGAGGACAGCCGTAAAATGCAGGAGAATATCAATGGATTGTTTGGCTGGGCAGAATGTGGGAAGATGGAATTCACTACAGAAATGCGTGACGTTATACACTTGGGGAGGGCTAACAAAGGCAAGAGATTACACAACGGATGTTAGGACCCTTGAAACTACTGAAGGTTAGAAAGACCTTGGTGTGCATATCTACAGTAACCGGAAGGTAGCAGGGAAGGTAATATAAAAGATGTTTAAGAAGGTATTAGAATACTTGCATTTGTTTAGGACTTGAGAGAGGTGTATAAGATCATAAAGGCCACAGACAGGGTGGATAGGAAGGCAGTTGTTCCATTATTAGAGGGTTCAATATCGGGGCATGGATTCAAGGTAAGAGGTAGAAGGCTAAGGGGAGAATTTTTTTCACTCAGAGGGTTTTGGGAGCCTGGATCTCAATGCCTGAATGGGGTGATTGAGTCAGAAACTCTCACAACATTTAAGTGGTATTTAGATATTTGCTTACATTGCATAGAGGGCTACGAAGCAAAAATTGAAATGGAATATGGGATTACAGTAAACAGATCTTTGTTGATTGATAGGGTCAAATGGCCTCCTCAGTATTATATGAGTAAAATATTGGATTGCGTCAGCAGTGGGGTTTAAGTCTTTGGTCAAATTATTTTAGTACTATGTACAAACGATATCTTTGGTACAGTGAAATGGAGAACAACAGATTCAACCTAGATTTCGGAATTTGATGTTTTAACACTTCAGAAAATTGCTCTCCAAAAGGGAGACAGATTTTTAGTTCACCCAAACACTTCTCAACAGGTTAAGAAAGGGATCATCAAAGTTGATTTAGACAGAGGTGTTCAGTAAGTGAAAAGGTTTAAATTCAATGAATCAAGTTGCAACTAGGAGTAACAAAGTAAGGTCAAGGGAATTTGCAAAACGATATAATTGCGAAACAAGTTACCAGAAAATCCACTGAAGCAAACATACCACACAAATGGGCTCTGCTACAAATTTTCTAGAAAATGAAGGTATTGAGGGATGGGGTGAGACGGCAGACAGGAAGGGTTCACCTCAACAAAAAATGGAAGAATTTCCGGTCCGAAAACACATCATGTAAAATAATGAAAATTCCTACAAAAGTATGCTAGGAATTTGAGTGGGAGGATTTCCAGGTTTCAAATCTGGGAACTACGACTATAAAACAGGTATTTTATATAACTGTAACCCTAAGCAAATGTGGTAAAAGGAAACAAAGAATGTAGAATTGCCACACAGGGAAGGAATCAAAACAGGTTCCCAACACAGTGGTGGGTAATATTTATCCACAGCAATCAAGGAGACAGTATTTAATCCTAATTCTATATTATAGAAACCAGCATTAGCAGGGTGCATACAAATACACAAATTAGATACAGCAGTAGGCCACACAATCCCTTTTGCCTTCTCCACAACTCAGTAAGATCATGTTTGATGTAGGTGGGGGCAGGAGAGCGCAGGGGTGAGGAGAGAACCAGGGGGCCTGGGGAGGTGCAGGGGAGAGTGAGAGAGGGAAGGTGGGGGTGTGGGGGGTGGTGAGAGTGAGTGAGGGAGAGAGAGTGAGCGAGCGGGGGTGGGGGGTGGTGCAGGGGGGCTATGATAGGAGGGTGACCGGCCAGGAGAGAGGCAGGGGTGGAGACAAGGGTGGGGGTGGGGGTTGGGGTACAGGAGAGAGGGCGTACGAGGGAGAGAACGAGAGATGAAGCGAGAGTACGGGCAGGAGGGGGCATAAGTGCTTTTGAACCAAATCCATAAAGTGGAGTTGGTGGACTCCTTATAGCATACTTGGATTTTCAGAAGATTTTGATCAAGTCTTCCATGGAAGGTTATTTAGCAAAATTAACGAACATGGGATGGGAGGTAACATACAATACTAGTGTATATTAATATTGGCTAATAGGCCATTCTCATGTTGGTAGGTTGTGATTAGCCATGGGCCACAGTTATTCATAATATATATTGATGATTTTGTGGAGAGAGCCAAATATAATATTTCCAAATTCATAGATGACACAAAGCGAGGTGGAAACGCGCACCACGAGGAAAATGCAAAGTGCTTCAACAGGCTGTGGTTGGTTCGCTTGCCGAGCTGGTTCGTTAGTTTGCAGACGTTTTATTACCCTGCTGGGTAACATCATCAGCGCAGCCTCCAATTAAGCGTTGTTGTGTTTCTCGCTTGTTATTTAAACTCTGCGTCCGTTGGAGTTAATTACCTCATTTCCAATTTTTCTTTGCAGTGGTGTGTATATAGAGTCTAATTCTACATGTTTACTGATGGCCTTCTTGGTGGACGACCAGGCCTCGAGAAATTCCCGTGCTTTTCTCTTATTGGCTTGTCCTAGGAACCTGACGGTGTCCCAATCGAACCGGTGGTTCTCCTTGTCTGTGTGTATGGAGAAGAGTGAGTATTGGTTGTGCCCTTTTGTTACTATTTGTTGTTCATGTATTCTCAGAGCCAGTTTCCTTCCTGTCTGTCCAATGTAATCTTTGTCGTGATCCTTGTATGAAATCTTGTTTACTATGTTGGTTCTGTCCATAGTGGGTATGGGGTCTTTGGTTCTTGTTAGCAGTTGGCATAGGGTTGATGTAGGTTTGTGTGCTACTCTGATACCCAGTGGCTGTAGGAGTCTTGTGGTCAGTTCAGATACATTCTTGATGTATGGTAACGTGACAAGTGTGTCGGGGCGCACTGTATCTCCCTGTTGTTGTTTGTGTGACAGGCATCGTCAGACCCTGCTGTTCAGGTATCTGTTGTCTCTAAATACTTGGTGGAGGTATTCTTTTCATTTTGGCATAGTTCTCGGTTTCTGCAGTGTGTTGTGGCTCGTTTGAACAGTGTTTTTAGCAAACAAAAACTGAAAGAACTGCGGATGCTGTAAATCAGGAACAAAAACAGAAGTTGCTGGCAGGTCTGGCAGCATCTGTGAAGAAAAAATCAGCGTTAACGTTTCGGGTCCGGTGACCCTTCCTCAGAACTGAGATCTTCCACAGATCCAAGCCAAACTATGGATTCAATACGTGGATGACACTTACATCATCATCAAACGAACTAAACTAGAAGAAACACACCAACTTATAAACAACAAGAATGGCAGCCAGACCTTAGGCACCAAGAATGAATCTTCTGAACTTTGACAAGCTCTGCTTAACAAAAGAGTAATTGTTATGGAGGACTCTCCTGTCGGGACACAGACAGGAGATTCTGTGACAGTGAGCAAGAATTCAGGATGGCATGTTGCTTCCCTGGTGCCAGAGTCAAGGATGTCTCAAAGACGATGCAGAATATTCTCAAAGTGGAGAGTGAAAAGCCGGATGTTGTCATACATATTGGTAAGAATGACACACTTAAGGAAAACGTTGAGGCTTTGCAGAGTGAATATTGGAAGTTAGGTATAAGGTTAAAAAGCAGAATCTCAAAGGTAATAATCTGTGAATTACTTCCGGTGCCACTTGCTAGTGAGTGTAGGAATAGGAAGTTAGGACAGATAAATCAGTGGCTGAGGAGCTGGTGCAGAGGGCTGGGATTCAGATTTTTGGATCATCGGGATCTCTTATGGGGAAGAAGAGACCTGTTCAAAAGGGATGACTTTTGCCTGATTTGGAGTGGGACTAATATCCTGGTGGGGAGATTTGCTAATTGTATTCGGGAGTCTTTTAAACTAGTGGGAGGGGTTTAAACTGGGAAGTGTTGGGGGTGATCCTAAGTAGTAGTGAGAAAGAAAGATGGAAGAGGATGGTTCCGAAGCTAAAGAGAGCAAGCTAATTAGAAAAAGCAGGCAACAGCAAGTCAGAGAACTAGATAAGTCTGAAGAATTAACCCGCATTTATCAATGCAAGGGGTCTTACAGGTTTGGCAGATGAGCTCAGGGCATGTATGGGAACATGGGACTGGGACATCATAGTCATTACAGAAACATGGCTGAGGGAGGGACAAGTCTGGCAGCTCAATGTTCCGGGGTTTAGATGCTATTGGAATGATAGAAAGAGAGGCAAGAGAGGAGGGGTTGTGGCGTTTTTGATCAGCGAAAACATTATTGCTGTACTTACAGTGGATATTTCTGAGGAATCATCCAGTGAAGCTATATGGGTGGAACTCAGAAATAAGAAGGGGATGATCACCATGATGGAATTGTACTATAGCTGCTCCCCCCCCACATATAGTCAGCAGGAAACTGAGGAACAAATATGTAGGACAGATCTCATATATATATATAACATATATAAGAATTAGAAGGTTGTAATAATAGGGGGATTTTGACATTCCAAATATAGACTGGTACTGCCATAGTGTTAAGGGCTTAGATAGTGAGGAATCCCACGAAAATTTTATCAAAATGTAGATACACCTACTAGAGAAGGAGCAAAACTTGACCTTCTCTTGGGAAATAAGGCAGGGTAAGGGACTGAAGTGTTAGTGGCAGAGCACTGTAGGACCAGTGATCATTATCCTATTAGTTTTAAAATAGTTATGGAAAAGGATAAGCCTTGTATAAGAGTTAAAGTTCTTAATTGGAGTAAGGCAAATTTTGACGGTATGAGACAGTAATATTCAAAAGTTGATTGGGATAGTCTGTTAGCAGGGAAAGGGATGACTGGCAAGTGGGAGGCTTTTGTACGTGGAATAACGAGCGTTCAGAGGCATTATGTTCCTGTTAAAGTGAAGGGCAAGACTGGTTAGAATGGGGAACAATGGATGAATATTGAGGCTCTGGTCAAAAATAAGGAGGAGGCATTTGTTAGATATGGACAACTGGAATCAAGTGAATCTCTTGAAGAGTATAAGGCATTCTTAAGAGGGAAATCAGGAGGTTATGCGGATATCAGCTGATATGAGATAGCCTTGGCAGATAAGATTAAGGATAATCCAAAGAGATTCTGTAAGTATGTTAAGAGCAAAAGAGCAACTAGGGAGAAAATAAGGCCCCTTAAAGGTCAACAAGGTCATCTACGTGTGGAACAACACGAGATGGGAGAGATAATAAATGAATAGTTCACATCAGTTTTTACTATGGAGAAACTGTGGAAACTCAGAAATAAATATTGATGTCTTGAAAACAGTCTACATTACAGAAGAGGAAGTGTTGGTCATCTTAAAAAAAAAAGTGGATAAATCCCTGGGACCTGATCGAGTGTATTCCAGGATGTTGTGGGAAGTTACGGATGAAATTGTGGGGCCCCTAGCAGAGATATTTCTTTCATTGACAGCCATGGGTGAGGTGCCAGTGGACTTGAGGGAGTTTAACATTGTGCCTTTATTTAAGAAAGGCTGTAAGGAGAAGCCTGGGAACAACAGACCACTGAGACTGACATCAGTAAAAGCCAAAAGAACTACGGATACTGTAAATCAGGAACAAAAACAGAAGTTGCTGGAAAAGCTCAGCAGGTCTGGCAGCATCTGTGAAGAGAAAATCAGAGTTAATGTTTTGGGTCCAGCTTTTCCAGCGACTTCTGTTTGAGTCTGACATCAGGGGTGGGTCAGTTGTTGGAGGGGATTCTGAGAGATAGGATTAAAATGCATTTGGAGAGGCAAGGACTGATTAGGAATAGTCAGCGTGGCTTTGTACGGACAAATCATGTCTCACAAACTTGATTAAGTTTTTTGAGGGCATAACCAAAAAGACTGATGAGGGCAGAGCAGTAGACGTTGTTTATATACACTTTACTAAAGCCTTTGGCAAGGTTCTGCATGGGAGAACAATTAGTAAAGTGAGATCACATGGGATTCAGGGAGTGCTTGTCAATTGGATACAAAATTGGCTTTATGGTAGGAGATAGAGGATGGTGGTGGAGGGTTGTTTTTTGGACAGAAGGCCTTGACCAGTGGTATTCTGCAGGGTTTGATGCTGGGTCCATTGTTGTTTGTCATTTGTAAAAAGGATTTGGATGAGAATTTTGGAGACACTGTTACTAAGTTCGCAGATGACACCAAAATTGGTGGTATAGTGGGCAGTGAAGAAGGATATCTAAGATTTCAAATGGATCTTGATCCATTGGGCCAATGGGCTGAGCAGTAGCAGATGGAGTTTAATTTGGATAAATGTGAGGTACTGCATTTTGGTAAAGCGAACAAGGGCAGGACTTAATGGCAGGGCACTGTGTAGTGTTGTTGAACAGAGATTTCTAGGGGTTCAGACATATAGTTCTCTGAAAATTGCATCCCAGGTAGACAGGGTGGTTAAGAAGGTATTTAGCACACTTGCCTTCATTGCTCAGAGCATTGAGTATAGGAGTTGGGATGTCATGTTGTACAGGATGTTGGTGAGGCCACTTTTGGAGTACTGTATACAGTTTCGGTCACCCTGCTATAGAAAGGATATTATTAAATTGGAGGGTGTTCAGAAAAGATTCATCAGAATGTAGCTAGGACTGGAGGGTTAGAGTTTTAAGGAGAAGCTCCAAGAGGCTGTGACTTTTTTCACTGGAACGTAAGAGGTTGAGGAGTGACCTTACAGAGGTTTATAAAACCGTGAGGGTCATAGATAAGATGAATAGCAAAGGTCTTTTCCCTAGGGCAGGAGAGTTAAAAACTAGGGGGCATATTTTTGAGGTAACGGGAGAAGGTTTTTTAAAAAGGACCCGAGGGGCAACTTTTTCACGTATTGGGTGACTTGTATGTGGAAAAAACCGGCAACGGAAGTGGTAGATGCAGGTACAGTCACAACATTTAAACAACATTTGGACAGGTGCATGAATAGGAAAGGTTTAGGAGGGATATGGGCCAAATGCTGACAAGTGAGACTAGTTTGGGAAACTTGGTTAGCACAGATGAATTGGACCAAAAGATCTGTTTCCGTGCTGTATGACTCTATGACTTAGTCTTTGTCCTATTCTTGTAGCCAAAGAATTATATATGGAGGGTCAAGTAATATTTCTCGTCATTGTAGGCCTCCATGATGTTGATTGTGGAGGAGATTCAGTGACAGCAATGCTGTTGAATGTCATGAGAGAACTGGAAATTGCAGAGTCCTGAAGGGCTACCCACAATTAAGGATGGGCAGATTTGTGAAGCCCCTACCCCAGCAAGTAATTGTTCATCACCATTCTTGATTGGATGTGGCAGGACCACAGAGCTTAGGTTTGATCAGTCGGTTGTGAAATTGCTTTACCTTGTCACATGTTGTCTCATTGTTTGGCACACATGTAGTTTTGTGCTGCAGGTTCATTCTTCAGGTTGCCAACTAATTCTTTGGCCTGCCTGAAAATACTCCTGGTATGCTGTCCTGTATCCTTTATTGAACCACAATTGATCCATTCGCATCATGGTAATAGTAGAGTAGGGCACATGTCAAGTTGCATACTTCAGTAGAATATAAATCTGATGTGTGTGCCTCATGAAGGCTCAGTTTTAAGCTGCTAGCTCTTTGTGAATTGATCCCATTTAGCACAATAGTAGTGCCACACAACACAATGGACGGCATTCTCAGTGGGAAGATGGAACATTATCTTCACAAAGCAAGCTTATTCAAAAAAAAAAGGCCCTTTTCTAACCAAAACATACTCCTGGTAATGTGTATGCATTGAATCCACAATGTCAGAACACACAATAGAATTTTAACAGAAAGAATGTAATTAAATCATAATAATAAAACTATGAAATTAAAGTTTATTGTTATGTAAACACAAACTTTTTCAACTTATAGTAACACATAGACCATTCTCAAATATCATAACTGCATGTTACTGCCAAAAGTTTGACATTCTGCTGTGATCATACGGACCAACATTAATTATTTGACCACATGATCTTCCAACCACACATTTCTTTCATCAACAAGACTGCTTATATACACATCAGTATCATTGTCTGACTTCACCTTACCTCAGCACATCTTCTGAAACCCTTACCCATATCGTACCTAACTGTATAGTTGACAATTCCAATATTCTTTCAGCCTCCCATAAACTTCAGCTCATGCAAAATTCTGCAGCCTTCTCCTTTGGCAGCATCTTCTAAACCTGTGAACATGTCCACCATGAAGAACTAAGGCAGCAGAAACATCAGAACACCACCACCTCAAGTTTCCCTCCAAGCCACATGTGAACCTCATCTGGAAATTTATCATTGATCCTTCATTGTCATTGGCTCAAAATCTTGGAATGTCCTTCCAACAGCACATGAACTACAGTGGTTTAGGAAGACAGATTATCACCAGACACTGGGGCAATTAGATATGGGCAATTAATGCTGGCCTAGCCAGCAATACCCACATTCTGCGAATGAAGTTTAGGAAAACTCTCATCAAGTGGCATTCACTCAACATCACTATCCTTGCCAACCTGTACAGGCCCGAGTTCCTCTGATGCCTTAATTTTAAAAATTGTAATCCTGGTTTTTAAATCCCTCTGTAGCCTCATCTCTTCCCACCACTGTAACTTCATCCAACACAGTTCTCTTAACTACTCCAATTCTGGTGTCCTTCATATTACCATTTTTAAGAACTCCATCAATGGCAGTTGTGACTTTAGCTGCCTTGGCCCTAAACTCTAGAATTCTATCTCTAATTTATCAATCTCCAGATTTCACTCCACCTGTATTTTTGTTTAAGACAAATTTAAAACCTACTTTTTTGTTCAAGCATTTCACTGCTTGTCCTAAAATCTTTTTATGTTGCTCAGCATCAAATTTTCATTGAACCACATTATCAATGCAGAGGAGGCCATCTGATCTAACAAGTCTGTGCAAGCTCTCTGCAACAGCAAGACCAACTGAGTAAGTCACACTCACCTGCCTTTTTCCCATTGTCCTGACAGTTTTTTTTCTCTCTTCAGATGAATATCTAATTTTGTTTTCAAATCCTCAACTATATTTGCCCACTCCACCTTTTTGGGTAATACTTTGCAAGATCCAAACAATGAGATACTTACTGATATTTAATTTCACTTTTGGCTCCTCTGTCAGCAGGGTGACGCTCCTATGAGTTATACCAGGACATTTTTCTACATTCTTGGTTCTCATACAATCGCAAAATGTAATTTACAACTGCCACTAAGACTCACAAAAGTGGTGTTTGTGAAACATCCAAATAACGTCGAACTTAATAGACTAGATATTCAAATTAAAGATAAAATCTTCCCAGCTTTCTTTAAATATAAGAATTTTCCGCTTTTTATGTTTCCATTGTTTTCAGACTTTATTAAAAATCAATCAAAATATCCTGTGCTTTTAAATGCGTAATGAAATCTGGTTTTAGCGACTCCAAGGAGTCGTTCTGCTTGAATTATAAGAGGACAACAATATTCACTAATAAAATGATGGTGTACACGGAGAAACTGCTCCTGACACAATCCTCTGAAATGAGGTATTATTAACTTCTGCACATTTTATAGTAAATGGAACAGTGACTGGACTAAGCAAATGGACTGATCAGATTAACCAAATATCATTGTGGGAAGTTAAATGACTATGACAATACAACAGGATATCATACAGCAACATTGGAATTTGAAACTGGACTTCTCGTTTGCACGATAAAGCAAAGACCTTGCGCTTACCTCCAACACCAGCTCCTCATCAAACTCTTCAACAGCCGCCATTGAAGTGAATGAATGCAATCAAAGGTGAGAGGAAAGCAGTGTGCCTCGCTGAGGACTCTGGGAGTTGTGGTCCAACTCTGCAACTGCACCTCCAGAGGTGCTGGAATAGGGATGCAGAGGAACTACAAAGCATCCCGTGAGGCTTCGGAGGGGTGAGCGAACGCTTGCGCCGCACTGTCAGCGTTGAGACTGAGGGTCAACGGCTGCGGGAGGAGCGCGCGCGCTGGCCGCGTCGTCACGGAGGAGTGCGCGCGCCCGGGTAGGGTTGTCGGTTGAGCCGCAGAGGGCGCCTGAGTGAACTAACAGACGCCTATGGGACGGACGGTGAACCTCAGTGAGAGAGGAAAAAAAGTATCTTTCTGCGTGATTTGTAAATATTGCTAGTTTGCGGTGCAGCTGATAGCGATCGATGTGGCCGGGTTGATGTTGTAGTCGTTGAAATACGCGCCGATGGCCGGGAAACGGTAGGAGATCACGGTGTCCCCAGTATGAGCGCAGGTGAGTCTGTTCCCCGCTGTCGTCGCGCTTTGGGCTCGGTTCCGCCGACTCGGTTATTTTTCGTTGCAGTGGCAGATCCGTGCTGCCTCTTGAAGGGAGTGAGGGAGCGGTGCTTTCGGCGGCGTTACTGTTGCCTTGAGAAGGTTGGGGGAAGGGAAGGAAGGAAAGGAAGGGTCCTCGATATCTTCATGTCTTGAGGCTGGCGGTCAGGCTCCCTTTGACTCTCTCTTCCCAACATCGATCTTAATCCCATTTTACTTGGCGTATTTTTTTAAAAGTGGTGATGGTGGGGAGATTGTCTCTCTTCACTGTTTTGAAGCTGCGATTTAATTGACAATCTCCTGTTTTTGATAAAGGCAACCGCCCTCCCCAACCTGGAGAAATATCTCAATAGATTAAAAGTTATAGCTATTGTTTGTGCCAAGATAAATGACTGGAGTTCTTTCCTTCCATGCAAACTCGTCATTTTAACGGTTTGTTCGACCACTGAGCTTATCAAAGACCTTTATGCCCAATTTCAGCGGGTGGATATTTCCTTCTGAAATATGGGGGTGGGGGGTGACGACTGATTGATTTGCAGCCAAGCGTTGACCACATAAGACCCCATCTGTCGCCTTCGAAGACACCAGCCCTGTCCCAAATTTGTCTTTCAGTGCAGTAAATTCCAACTAGCATCAGCTGCACAGGATCCTTTTGTGCCAGTGTCATGTCTAGTCTCATCCAGTTTACACGTTATGATAGGATTATGTCGCGAAAAATAATTTCTTTTTCACATTCAATTGTACGTCCAGTTCTAAAAGGAGTTTTCTTCGTGTAGTTAGTGCAAAGTAGGGGTCATCGTTGATAATTTTCACACTACTTTCTGTAATCCGTGTGAACCCAAAATGTTTGAATATCTGCCACTATTGAAACAGTTCCAGAGAATTAACATTTTTTAAACGGAACTGAATAATAAAATTGATGTGAACTGCAGTAAATAACACATAGTGGGGTTTCCACAATCTGGATTTTGCAACTCAGTAAGTCTGAATTTCTTTGGCTTTGAATGACATTTATTCATTTTGTATTTTTTTGTTTTTGTGACATCCGGTTTATATCTAGAAACTGTTTAAAATGATATATTGTTAGGGAGCTCTGATTTTTAAATAGGCTGCTCTAAAGTAGTAATTGATTTAAGTTTTTGAGGAGCAGCTGTGTTTTTGACACTTGTGGGTTGTCTGGCTGTTAAACCCTGAATATAAGACCATCAGTTTACAGCTGGTCACAGCTGACACTGAAATGCAGTGTTCAATGCAGTTCTGTTTGTTCTGAGTGGCAATTGTTACTTTCAAATTTTGGAAGCCCCAAAACAGATTTAAACAAATGAAGACTTGAGTTTAGTTTATTGGATTACTAAAAATGTTCATAGAAAAAGTAGTAATTTTCTATAATGCGTCATTGACTGAGATGTGCTGTTAATGACAGCAACAATGATTAAACCTTTATATTCTAGTTATATATTGATTTGAAAATTAACTCTCTTTAGATCTCTTCTAAATGGCATAAATGGTTAAAATAATATTTAGGTAAGCCATTGCCAGGAAGACTAAAAAGGTTTCTTTTGGTGTTAGTTCTTGGATTACTTCTGATTTAGCTGGGTCAGTGAAAGAACTGTGACTGTTTAGTTTTGTACTTGGTAATTGAATGGAAAATTGTCTGGAATTGCAACTCCTGAATTCTTCCAGCTAGAGTTGCAGAATAGTGTGTAGACAGGATTAGCTCATATCTTGTCATATGTATAGAATGATCACCTGGGAAAGCTGAAAGAAAGACCAGCACCCACAGAATCATTATTTAATGAAGAGTAGCATATCCAAAGGAAGGAGAAAGATGCAAATAAGCAATGCATTTAAAAAAAAAAATCATTTTGTATTAGAAGTACAACAGATAACAGTGCCAACAGATTAATTTTTTCTATGGTAGGGAAGCAATGAGTATTCCTGTCTTTTTTAATTTCAAAAATGTACTTTATTCATGGAAGGAAATCTTTATGTACATACACAGCTAACGAAACCGTTCAGATCTGGACTGTCTTTGCTTACAGAGAAGAACACAAACATGGGAGTTTGGCTTTCTCTATATATACAGTTAAATTCTTGGCATTCAGCTGAGGCTTCAGGGTGGGTTCAATTACTGGATGGACCCCCATTATGCTTTGGCAGAAGGACCTTATACGGTGGTCTTTCCCCACTGCGCCTTGGCAGCAGCTGTCCCAAGTTTTTGTGCTTCCCTCAGCATGTAGTCCTGGACCTTGGAATGTGCCAGTCTGCAACACTCAGTTATGATCAACTCTTTCAACTGGAAGACCAGCAAGTTTCAGGCAGATCAAAGATCATCTTTCACCAAGTTGATGGTCCTCCAGGCACAGTTGATGTTTGTCTCGGTGTGCGTCCCAGGGAACAGATCATAGAGCATGGAGTCCCACGTTACAGAGCTTCACAAATTTCTCCATGAAGGACAGGTGATACAGAACAGTCCATCTGGTTGGAGTGTTCTGCAGCAATGAGGCTGGACATATCCTTAGCAATGCTGGGGACAGGTAGAACTTCAGTAAGTATTCCTACTTGGTGTTTGCATACCAAGGGTCCACGCACAGCTTGATGCAGCCACACACAATGGTGGCCATCAGGGTGAGGGTAGCTTTGGGTATGTTTTCCCCCCTTTTTCTTTATACATAACGTTCCTTCAGACTCAGTCCGTCTTCGACCTCCAAATGAAGTGAAAGGTGGCCTGGGTGACTACAGCAGAGCAGGTTTGGGGAATAGGCCAGACCAACACTAAAAGTGCTCCCATCTGCCTAGTTTCTGCCTCGCTTTGGTGACACGCTCCTCCCAAGTTTTGGTGCACGCCCTAGCCCCTCCTAACCAAATACTCAGCACCTTCAGGTAGTCCAGGCTGACGGTGAAGGGGATTAAGGATTGATCTGGCCAGTTCCCAAAGAGCATGGCCTCACTGTTGCCTCGATTTACCTTAGCTCCTGAGGCCAGTTCAAACTGGTTGCAGATGCTCATGAGCCTGCGCACTGACAGTGGATCCAAGCAGAAAACGGTGATGCCATCCATGTCCAAGGAGGCTTTAACCTGCAGGCCTCTGCTGCCTGGAATAGTCACCCCTATCAGGCTCACATCCGTCCTGATGGATTCGGCAAAAGGCTCAACACACAAACAAGGCAGCAGAGAGAGGGCAGCCTTGCCTGACTCCAGATCTGATCGGGAAGGATTTTGATTCCCACCATCGATTGATACTAATGATGTTTGTCTCCCCTAGATTTTTAACAAATAACAGCATAGCTTGAATTAAAAGTAGAAAATGCCAGAAATACACAAACTCATCAATTTCGAACCATTAGTTCCATCTTTCAGATGAGATCCTTCATCAGAATGTTAAATGTTGACTGGTTTATTTTGCAGTTCCAGCATGGATTCTCATTTGAGTTGCAACCATTATGTATTCCTTATGTCAACCCTATCCTTATTTGATTTACAATCTATCTGATATAGGTAGTCAAAATTGCAAATAAGATGGCGGTATTCTAGCTATTTATTCATTTGTGGGATGTAAGCGTTACTGGCTGGCTTTGTTGCCTTTCCCTAGTTGCCCTTGAGAAGGTGGTGATGAGCTGCCTCCTTGAACCACTGTAGTCTACCTGCTGTGGGTTGACCACAATGCCATTAGGGAGGGAATTCTAGGATTTTAACCCAGCATAAGTGAAGGAACGTGATATATTTCCAAGCCAGGATGGTGAGAGGCTTGGAGGGGAACTTGAAAAGTCATAGTGTTCTCATGTATCTGCTGCGTTTGTCCTTCTAGATGGAAATGGTCATGGGTTTGGAAGGTGCTGTGTAGGGATCTTTGGTGAACTTAAGATATCTAGCTAGATTATGGTATACAAGTCTAAATGTCTGCATGGGCAGTAATGTGTGTTAGCTGTAATTCTGGTAACTTTTTAAAAAAAAAAACTTTCCCCTACATTTCTGAAGAGTATCAATGTATGGTATAAAATGTTAACAGATTTGTAGGTAGTGATTGAAAGTGGTCTACATAACTCATTTTTTTGAAGCTAGCTGTTTGTCGGGGTATAAGGTTATACTGTTGGTATGTTAATTATTGGTCAGATCTCATCTGAATGATAGTTTGAGGAAAATTAAAGTTAGAAAACCTGTAAAAGGGGCTGTTTGCTGTCGAAAAAAAGGACAAATGATAATCCAGATGAAATTTAAATGAGAATTGCTCATTGTCTTCTCATTATTACTGAGAGATCCCAAATGCGAATTTGTCTCCAACCCTACAAACATTGCACTGAAGTTGGAATTCCCTGAACTGTCAGTAAGTTAAATGTGCATGAATAATTTGCTGTATGTATCGTGTATGCAGCAAAAATAAGTAAAATTCATATTTACAATATCTAAGGCTTAAAGTTTCTGTGTAAAATCTTAAATGGCAATATTTTCTTTCCATAGGGAAACCATCTTGAACTTAATTTGCAGTTGCTTAGTATTCCAATCACTGCTGACATTGCAAAATCAACCACACTTGTAAATACTAAGCATTTTTTTCACCTACACACCTGCTAAAAATCTGCTTTAATCTTACTTTCTTTTTCCACAGTTGTTGCTACGATGAATAGTTTTGGCTGCTGTGTAAGTTTCTGTACCCTTTGACATTTTAAGACTGCTACATAAGTGCAACTGATATTCCATGTTCACGGACCATTTTATTGGCAGCTGGAAATAGATAAAATACAATGTTATTGTATGCTTCAATTTTTGTCATAACATGGCCGCTTGTGGATCAGAAAGATGCTACTATTATAACTTCCTTCAAGACTGGTGGGCAGTGGAATGTTTGCGGAGTGTTTAGTTCATATTCTGAATGTCAACGAATTAAATATTGAAGTTAATCCACTACCACTAAGTGGTCATATCTTGATTATTCTGTCTCGTGCTGATGTCTTCTCTTTCTGAAGTGCACAATTGCGCTATCTTATGCCTATGCATTTGCTTTGTATGCTTTCTAGTTCTAATTTCTCTGTCCACTCCCTACTTTTTGTTTGTATCAATCACAGAATCATAGAAGTCATTTATATCCTCCTGTACTTAGGTTCCTAAAATTATCTGCTGTTCTGTAATGAAGGTGTAGCCAGGTGATTTACATAGTTCTTCTAAATGGTCCATTTGATTTTATGCCTAATAAATCTAAGTAATTCATGTCCTTTTAACCACCTTGTTCACTTGCCCTCCCTTTATCAACAGAATTTCCTGACCCCTCCCCATAATTCCCCCATCTCCTGCATGCACTGAGTGCTCCATTTTGAATATCCTTGTTCCCTTGTCTACTCATTTACTTTCTGCTTTCAGTGTGTCATTATGCATTCTCCCTGTTCCAGTAACACAACCTATCATGAGTCACTCTGCATTCTAGATCTATTTTTCATCCCTTTGCCTTCATTCTATTTTGTCCATGTTTCTTCTCTCTCTCTATTTTGTATTTGCTTGTATTTACTGTCCCTCTCACTTCTCTTTGGAATTGTCCGGTTGTGCTCTCATTGGCAGTTCGTCCGCACAGGTTCTTGCTCTTAACCACTACCCTCTTTTTTGAAAATAATACTAATGTTATAACATTATATTCAAAGTTACTGTAATGGTTTCAGCATTCTGTACATTTGTGCTGTAGCCTGGTCCACATGTTACTCAATTTTTGTTCAAAATATGCTCTTCCAAAATGCCATATATTGTCAGCCCTTGTCTCATCAAAGCTATAGAAAAATAACTTTTCTATGTATCTTTTTCCTGTAGGAATTAAGAAGCCTCCAGTGGCTCCTAAACCCCGAATTGCTTTGGGAAAGAAGCCACCTCCTCCTCCAGTTGCACCAAAGCCAGATATCATCATATCAGAACCATTCTCAACACATAAGGGACCAAAACCAGCATTAGCACCAAAACCAGTATTGCCAAAAATTACACCTGTGGCTGAAGTCAAACCAACACCACTGCAAATTAATAAATGCCCAGATGAAATTAAGCGAGAACTGAGTGAAAATGTGAAGTGTCCAACTTGCCAAGGTGATGGAATGCAAAAGGGAGACTGTGAATTGACTCATCATTGCGAAATATCAAATTACTCATGTAAAACTGAGTATGAGCATAAATATATAAATGGTGAAAATACAGGTAAAACACAACTTGTCATTGACCACTTGTCCAAATTGGAAGCTTTAGAAAAGAGCAAAAAGTACGATCAAGCAAATTATTCCTCTACAGTATGGCAAAGGCCAGAGACTCAGAATAGCAAAACGGTTAACAAGTACCAGATAAGTAGTAAAACTAGTTTCCCAGAGCAGAAATTTAAAGATGTGCTAACTCAGGTTGTATCACCAAACAATTATCTTCCAAAGCAAAAAGATGCACATTGTGATGCAGGTATCAAATTACACAGAAGTAATAATGGGCAAAGTGAAGTGTTTAATACTGACCAAACTTTCCAAAATCTAAGAAATTCCAAAAGAAATACAAGAGAGCCATTTGTTGATGGGAATAAAGACTATGAGATTAAAAATGCTGCTCAGGAATCGGAAAAAGGAGTGAAAAATGGGAAAAATTGCCACTCTTCTGGTACTGACCTCAAAGAAAGTGTGCATAACAGCCAGCCAAAAGTTCCATTTACAGTTGCAGAAAAGGAGAAGTTGACCTTTCAGGATAATTCTTCAATTACTGCTTCAACATTCACTTCAGTGCCTTGCACCAAACCAATTCCTATGCCAAAGCCAAATAAAGCACGCCTAGTTGGTCTCATCAGGCAGAACTGTATAGACAACTCTGTGGAAGATGCTATGTGTCCTAATGAGATATGCAATGATCTTTGTTTCAAGACTGCAGATGGAACTGCTGTAGATTTGAAGAAATCAGTTGTTTCTTTGGATGCTGGAAGTGTCTCTATGTGTAAAAGTGAAAGTTCTTATCAGACTGTCAAGATGAACAGTGCATCCTCACAGGATAAGATTGCTGAACTGAGTCAAGCAAAAGATTCTTGTAATCAAAGTATTTTACCCTTCAAAAAGCCAGTTCTGGACTCTGTCTCTAAAGTCAAAATCTCTTCAGACTTGCAAAATAGAAGTAAAGTAGAACAAATAAAGAAAGATTTGGAAAGTGGCAACAGAACATTGCCGACAGACAGCAAAAGCAGTTTTATTAGAAGTAGTTCTCTCTCTATGAGTTTGCCCAAATACCTCAGTTTATCATATGCTCCAAAAGTGCCTGCATCAAATAATGATACTGGTTCAGATTTTGATAGAGTACTTAGTAATGATGCAAAGTCCACTAAGTCAGACATCTCCCCAAAGATTATTCCAGAAAAACCACAGCGTCACAGCCTGCCTTCATCTGTTATAGTTAAAAGGGATCTGACAGCAGGCAATGATAAGAGTGCAAGTGGTTCAGTAGAAAATGATGCGGAAGAGGGAACTGGCAGTTTATCCGGCAGAGAAACCAAAACATCTACTAGTGAACACAAAACAATTCATCTGAGTGAGAAACCTGTATGGAAACTTCCACATCCTATTTTGCCTTTTCTGGGGAGTCCTGGCACTGTGACACTAACAAGTACTTCAACAAATAACGAAGCCAATATATCAAAGCCAAGAGCTAAGTCTTTGTCATCTGCTGATTCTGAAAAGCTGGAGAAGTCACTAAAAGCACCTTCAAAGAAAAACTCATTTAAGCGAATTCTTGGTATAAAACTCTCTGCTAAAATGAAAACGGACTTTCAAAAATTTTTGACAAAAGGCAGCTATTCACTAGACAGTGCACCAGATGGACTTCTTTCTATGGAAAGTAAAGACAATAATCTCTGCATTTCAGGGTCAGTGACAGGTGATCAAGAAATTAAACCTGTGAAAGCACATTCTGTGGATTCCTGCTACCACACAAAGAAAGGGCAAATACTTAAAAGCCCCTCTGATTTTCCAAATAACTTTCCTGCTGAACAGGAATCTCATGTTCAACTCCACAAAGAAGGGCCAAAGAATTCTAAACTGCATTTGACTGAACAACAGTCTCTTACTCCTAAATATGAAAACATCAGTGGTAATTTTGATTGGAAAAGTTCTTCCAGTGTTGAAGACTGCGACAGTAGTTTTTATGAAATACAACCCTATGCAGTATCAACCTGCTATCAAAAATACACTGCAACTCAGAAGAACCAGCATATCAGGTAATTATGAGAATGTTAGTATGTTACAGGTGTGTATGAAGCTTATTAGTTGTATGGGAGAATCTGATCTTCTGAAATTGTTTTGGAGCTTTGACCTTTCATTAGAGAGCCCTGATGAACGGACCTGAAATGCTAACCCTTTTTGTCACCACAGATGCTGCCAAACCAGCTGAGTTTTTCCTGCATTTTTGGTTTTATTTATAATTGCCAATATCCGGAATATTTTGTTTCTGATTATCTTAAAATTGACTGCCCATAGCCAAATTTCAGTATATTAATTCATTTCAGTGTGACTGAATGAACTAACACTTCTATTTATAGTAGATTTGGTTAAAAAGGGTACAGAGGAAAATTACTGCCATCCCTACCATATTCTGCTGATTTTCAACCACAAAGCTACATGAATGGGCCCTTCATTTTTGCTGCCTCAAAGAGAAGGTGAACATTTCTTGTAGACCATTAAAAACTAAGCTGATGTCACATTTTAAAGTAATGCAGAGAAGGAATCCTTTCTACTGTAATTAAATTTGTTTATACAGTTGCCAATGTAATGTTGAAATAATCTTGAACCCAATCTGACTTGCAATATGAACCTCTGAATGTTACTTTTTACACAAGTCACAGTGTAAATAACTGACCTGGTCAATTATCAGCTGTATAACTAGTTTTCCCAGTAATGACCTATTCTGAATAAAGCTTAAATTTTGAAATTCACTATATACAATGTATAACAAACTTAAAATAAATAGATTCCCTTTAGTTTGCTTTGGTCGGTGTTCAGTCATATTCTAATATGGTACCGTTTTTTGTGGCAATAACAATAGATGCATAACTGTAGCGAAACAAATGTGAAGCGAGCCCATTTAGACGTTGAACTGTGATTGAGTGCCTTAAAACGTGACACAACATGAGGAACTGCAGCTCCAAGAGTGGCTCAGGTTCAACATTGAGAACAATTTCTTCTTTCAGTGACTGGTGCTCTCTGAAATAAATGGACATGACGGGACTGGATTTGCTACTCATTTTTAAGGAAGGATTTCAGAAGAATTGTAGAGACAGACATTGGGATGTTTGGGAGATGGAATGGTGAAGGGGATACTGTGCTAGTCATTTTGATTGATTGACTCCCAGGAGAGCTTGCCCAAGCTTGCTGTAAAATAGACTTTACTTTTCTCTCCCATTCCCTTCCTTTTACCAACATTTGAGAGAGAAGTGGTGCTGTTTCATAATCGAATTGAAGAACCTGATTTTCCTGCTTCTTTTCTGTTCATATTTGTTTGACTATTCTGGTCCTTTGTTGGATCGAGAAGATACAGGGGAGATTTCCAAAATTATAAAGGGATTTGGGAGGATAATTGAAGATTAATTGGCAAAAGGATTCATAACCAGAGGGGACTGATTAAACAGAATTGGCAAAAATTCACTGAGGAGATTAGAATTTTCTTCACGCAGTGAGTTATACGTTGTACTTCCTGAACAGAATTGTAACTTAAAAAGGGAATTGAATTTTGCAGGGTTATGGAGAAAAATCAGGGAAATTGTGCTACTTAGCCTTTTGTAAAGGTCAGACACAGACACAACAAGCTAATAAGTATCCTTTGATTCTGTACTATTTGACAATTTCTATGAATAAAATTTTATGGTAAACATTTCTAGTGTATTCAGGCATGTGTTAGCTTGCCTTAATGTTAGCATTGTTGGCATCAGGACAGTTCAGATTGTACTTCGATACCTAACCTAGCAGCACAGGTGAAGAGGGAAAATGGATGCAGTCTAGGATTTAACTGTGCCCAAATGCCTGCTGTTGTTTGTTAATGTAACAAGTCTCAGCACCTCAAAGAGTAATTATATGTTTTGAAGTACTTTTAAGGTATTTTTGAGATGCAATCTCCTGATTTTGCTTTCGTATTGTTTAATTGGTATTATTGTTGCTTTGAGCCAAGTTGTTTTCAGTTAAGGTAATTCAAAATATAAAATGCTGTCACCATGTTTCAGCTGGACCAACAAAATGCATGAATGTACAAATATTCAATGTTTTATCATGCACAAATCTCAACAACATTATTTTGCCAGCTTATATGCACATGTTTATTAATTTCACCCAGCAACCATAATCTGACCAACATTATTAAGGACAAATTAACCAGCCCATTTATCTCCTTGCTTTTTGCATGGAATCTAATCTATGGTAGATTAATGCAGTACCAAAAGAGATTTGTATATTTAAAAGTAATGTCTAACCGTTCCTGTAGCAGTATTTTTGAGAGGCCTGCTGGTGTCCTAGCCAATATGACCAAAAAGAAAATAAGGTTTTGTAACAGGTTATGTATTCAGTGACTGCCATTTTTATTTATAGCCTGATTCATGTGCTTCGAGCCATACACTTCTTCTGAGGATTGAGAGACCCTGGAACTCTTTGCCAAAGAGAGCTGTGGGAGTAGAGTCCTTGTGTATAATTAAGGCTGAGACACATACATAGATAATTAAAATAATTTTAATTAGGTCAAATATTCAATGCAAGGAATATCATAAGATTCTCATTTCTCCTGGTTATGATTTAATTAACAGCCTGTGGTTTTGGAATATAGTAAGTCCCCTTGTGATTCCTACTGCTCTAAAGTCTCAGAAGCTAGTCATTCTCAGTGACTTCAATGCATGAGTTGGTATAGACCTGGCAGGGGAAAAGGGAAAATAATTGGATTAACATCTGTAATAGCAATGATCTCCTCTTGGATGCTCAGTATGAGCTTAATAACAAGCAGTTTTCTGCCTCCCTAATTGCAACATGCCATCTTGGATGTGCTCCGTTCAATGAGTAGACATCTAATTGTCTATTCAATTATAAGACAGAGGGAAAAGTAGAGTGTGTGAGATGAAAGCCATGTGGCTGCTGGACAACTGCTGCCATATCATTTCAAAGCTTAACAGGTGTCCCTTCACACACCCGCCCACCCACACATGCACACACACACGCCCACGCACACACACACACACACACACCTAAAAGCATCTCATTTTTTGAGGCTCGAGGGTAGTTGTGAAGAAATCTCTTTGAGAACCTTGAGAGTTGCCTGTGAACATTGCAAGCGAGCGCTCCACATCAAGGATGACTGTGTAACCTCAAGTATATCGTTTACTCCTTTGATGAAAAGCTTAGCTTGACCTTGGCTTTCTTAGCCATCAAGAATGTATTGAGTAAAAAATGTGAGGTTAGCCAGCAATTGCTGGCAGAGAAATATCGCATCTACAGGTTTTACTTTCTGGAAGTTAGTTGTGAACTAGCTCTTGAACTGCTGCAATTCTTGATTATAGATACACCCACGGTGTTGTTAGGAAAGGAGTTCCAGGATTTTGACCCAACAACCTTAATGGCAGGTCATCACTATTCAAGGACAATACCTACCAAAACAGCTGTAGGACTGTCCATTGTAAGCTCAGCGATGCAGATTCTGAATCAGAAAGCAGATAATTTTGAATCAAGTAGATCAGAGTTTGGAACAAATTCTAAAGTGCTCTAAGAGCCTCAGTGAGCTGATTCATCAGCAATCCTGTGTTTAGATAGGGCATCACCGTTCACAGGGAAGGTACAAATTCTAGGAATATGAGCAGAGCCATTAAACCATCTCCTCAATTGATTTCCATCGATCAGTGAAAAAAGCAATCAACAGGCTATCACAGGTCACCATTAACTGCTATCTTGATGAATGTCCCACATTGTTACAAAAGGGATTTAAAAAGCAGGACCACAAGGTTTGTAATCCAAGGATTACTCCCTGTGCCATATACTAGTGAGGCCAGAAAAAGGAAGATAGTACACCTGAATACGTGGCTCAAGAGCTGCTGTACAACGGAAAGATTCAAATATTTGAATCATTGGGATCTCTTCGGAATGAAACCTGTACAAAAAAGGAGGGTGTTGCACTGGAGGGGCACCAGTATCCTTGTAGAGAGGTTTGCTGCTGGTACTCGGGAGGGTTTAAACTAGTGTGGCAGCGGGGTGACAATCATAGAAGCAGGTCAGCATGTGAGGAGAAGGTAGAGGTTAATAGGATGAACAAGCAGGGTCAGTTTAATCAACATTGTGGAATTATAAAAAGTGTATTGCGTAAGACAGGAGGGACAAGTAATAAAAAGATACTGAAGGACTGGATAGCGTGTACAGCCAAAATTAGAGTTCTTTATACAAATGCACGGAGTGTAAGGAACAAATTAAACGAGCTGCACACACAGATTCAAATTGAAAACTATGATATAGACATGGGTACGGCATGGCCAGGTCTGGAAACTAAACACACCAGGACATAAAGTTTACAAGAGGAATAGAGAAAATGGCAGAGGGGGTGGAGAAGCCTTACTGATTAAAAACAGAATCACTTCAGTGGTGAGGGAGGAAGTAATGAAGGGAAAAGCATCCAGTGGAAACCTTAGGGTTGGAACTAAGGAACCATGGAGGAACAAAAACCATAATAGTTGTTCCATTTAGATCACCTGGTAGCAGCTGAGAAGTGCTAGATTGTATAAATTCTGAAATTAAGCAACAATATGGCAAAGGCAGAGTAGTATTAATGGGGATTTTAATTTCAACATAAAGTCGGAGACAGACATGCATCTGCCAGAAAGTTTATGAATTTCTAGAATGTCTGGGATAGTTTCCTATAGCAATATTTCTTGGATGTGACATGGGAATAAGCAATATTGGATCTAATAATGATTTAATTCGTGCCCTAGCTGCTCACGAGCATTTGTCAAATTGTGTTCATAGCATGATTGAGTTCCCTATAGCATTAAATGAGACGTAATCAAAGATTGGATGCTAGAATTTTGGATTTAAGTAAGGCAGACTTTAACGGGATGAGGCAGAAACTGTCTGCAGTCAACTGGGAAGCTCTGCTATAGGTAAAACAACTGAGGAGTTATGGAGGGTGTTCAAATAAACGGTTAAGGCTATTCAGAAGCGTTTGTTCCCATGAGCAAGAAAACCTCCGACAAAAAAAAACAGC